GATGCAGCAATGCCGGAGTGGAAGGAGGGAATGCAAGGAGGAATGGATCTGAGGGAGAGGTGGAGGTCCAGGAAGCTCAGGTGGGGCGGGAGCCTAATCACTGAAGTTTGATTGGCTGTAAGGAAGCTGGGATGGGGCGGTGGTATGATCACTGAAGCTTGATTGGTTGTAAGGGAGCTGGGGATGGGAGCATGAGGCCGGGGAACTTGAGGATGATCACAATCTGAAATGACATTAAAGAATGCTCTGTATCCAATAATAGTTGCAACAAAGTATTTCTGGGTACATTTGATACATTTGGCTTTTAATCTTAAATTTATCTTGGAGAACACATGTTATTGTCTCCCAGCTCAATAGTACTGCTGGTATTAACCTCAGAATGTACCTGCAGACATCTCAAATAGACAAAGAGGGGACACTTTAATTTTAGGTATGTGGGTCAGTGCTGTTCTGAGACATTTTATGTTTATTTTCTAATAGCAATTTATACAACTTAAATGTCATTAAAAACAATGTATTCTATTTACACAGACTGATTTCTAAACACATTTATTGTAGTTTAAAGACACATTACTGGGAGTGTTATTGCTGTCCACCTCTGTTATACACTCAGACACATTACTGGGAGTATTATTGCTGTGGAGCTCTGTTATACACTCACATTACTGGGAGTATTATTGCTGTGGAGCTCTGTTATACACTCAGACACATTACTGGGAGTATTATTGCTGGGGAGCTCTGTTATACACTCAGACTGTTATACACTCAGACACATTACTGGGAGTATTATTGCTGTGGAGCTCTGTTATACACTCAGACTGTTATACACTCAGACACATTACTTGGAGTATTATTGCTGTGGAGCTCTGTTATACACTCAGACACATTACTGGGAGTATTATTGCTGTGGTGCTCTGTTATACACTCAGACACGTTACTGGGAGTATTGTTACTGTGGAGCTCTGTTATACACTCAGACACATTACTGGGAGTATTATTGCTGTGGAGCTCTGTTATACACTCAGACACATTACTGGGAGTATTGTTACTGTGGAGCTCTGTTATACACTCAGACACATTACTGGGAGTATTATTATTGTGGAGCTCTGTTATACACTCAGACACATTACTGGGAATATTATTACTGTGGAGCTCTGTTATACACTCAGACACATTACTGGGAGTATTATTGCTGTGGAGCTCCGTCATACACTCAGACACACACCAACAATATGGAGCTCCTAGAAAAGATGGACATTCGGATGGATAAGATTGACAGAGGGAGTTGGACCCAGAAAAGGGACTGTCCCTCCTAAATAGGGACACTTGGGAGATATGTCAGAGGAATGAAAGGCAGAGATGATTATGCTGGGAATCCATCCTGCATTCATGAGGCTTGACCATGTACTCAAGATATGATAACAAGAGCACAAATCACTCCGCTGTCTCATCATTGCATTTATTTTCAGGATATGAAAAGACGGTGAGCACATGACTGGTTACATGGATTAGAATGGGAAGTAACTTTTGTAAGTCAAAAGGCATAGATAGGTAGGCATAGTGTCGCATTCAAAAAAACTAAACATCTCGGGACTTCTATAGTGCAGTATTTAAACACATGCAGTTACGTCAAGATTAGATGATATAAAATAAGAAAAATCGCATGCACCAAAAAAATTTAATTTTATAATTTATTATATCTGTATGATAAAATACATACACGTGAGAACATTTTTCCGTTTCCCAATCTAATTCCCCCCATAGGAGGTTTAACGGTTTAACATGAAGAGATTAAATCAAATACATTCAAATTTAAATACATTCCAAAAACAGAGAGGACATTTAAGCCCTGAGTTCCAAGGTCATTAGCAGAGGTCACGGAGTCTCCTAGTGTTATTTGACAACATAATTTCGAGGCAGGACTTTCATTGTTAGTTCGTCTCATCTCATGAGAGATTAATTAGTAATTCTAAAGAATTATTTTTGTAAAGACTATTTCAAGAGTGAAAAAAATGTTAAGACCAAGGAAGTGCACTCCAATTCCCATCATCCCCAGCTAGTATTTGACTCTCTCAGTCTTATTCTCTAAACTGGAAATTCAAAGTGAATTTAAATTTAAGGCCAAGGTAGATGAACTGCAAGCATATTTGACATATTTGAGAGTTATTCCAGTCCGTCTATTTTTTACCATGAATTTGAAATTCTCTTTGAATTCTCACCTTAATGAATAATCCTGTTTGAGAATAATGCCCATTGTATTTTTATTGTTTCCGCTAGGGTGAATGGGAAATGTGTTATTGAACACACCTCCATATGACATTTTAACAGTTTGAAATGGTTGCATATTCTCCACTCTTCAAAATGAAGATTAACAAAAGCATACATTGTATGCAAACGTAAGACTCCCTCTGCTCACATATAAATAAAAAAAATAGAATAAGAATACATTCCTACATGTTACATAATAACAATATTTAAATAAATAACAATATAAATAATTAAATAAATACATATTAAAAGCATATATCGTTCAAAATAAGAGAGGATTTTGTAACAGATCTGAAATAAAATCAAATAAATAGTAAAAAAAATGAATCATAGTCATGGTTGTGATTGTAAGGGCAAGATTCCAAGACGTTCCAATCTGGATGTCCATTCGTGTGATCTTTGGGCATCCGGTAACCGATCCATCGAAAAAATACTATGGCAAACCTTCCACCAGCTTTGCTTTCTAAGTAGATCATCGAGGATGTAGAAGTTGTAATTCCCATAAATATTATGGAAAATAGCTATAAACTACAGTTTTAGAGCTTTGTAAGTCCAAGACGTATTGTTGACATCTACCACGTCAACCTTCTAGAACCAGGCTTGCCATTTCCTGTATTTTCAGATGCCGCTGACCATGATGAAACATAGGCTGGTGTATTCAAACCTTGTATCTTCTTATATAGCCAAAATACCAAAGTAGGTCTTCCCATTATTTGTATCAACATATTTAATGTCGGTGGTTGAAGTGGAGAGCACGTCTCCTTTGTCAAGCTGAAAAATTCCACCTTGGTATATAGGATGGAACCAAGCGGATTTAGATTGTACCTCACAGGCTGTTTTAGTTGATGTGAGAATGGGCGAAGCGTCTCCTTCTGAGTCACTGTATTTATTGACTTTGTGTGTCAGCTGGATAGCATTTGTGTCTACGCAAGATAAGCCGGTGAAGATGACTTGTGTGTATACGAAGTACAGCCCATCCTTTGGAATTACCAGGGCATTATTTTTAAGCTTCATCTCATTCTCCAAAAAGGAATTTTGGGACTCCCCTTTCCAGGAGATCTCATTTTTGCTTCTAACACCTGTAAAATATGGAAACAAAGAAGTGAGCAAAGGGAAAGAGACTGCAAGTTGAGAAAAGATGCAAATAAAAATTCAATGAATGAGCAAATCTTTGAAAATTATTTTTCTTACCGGTCAAATGGGCGGCCAGCTTGTTTGCCACTCTTGTCTGTGCCTCAGCTTCTTGTGGAACAGAATCTAAAAAAACAAAGAGGAATTGAGAAGTGAGTGTAAGATCCTCAGTATTAAACCGTATGTCCCCATTCCCTCTCTATAACCCTGATACAGTAACAAACAATAGCAAACAGTGACATTTAAGTTCAGTTAAACTTACCTAAAAATGTCTTGATGCCCACAAACTCTGGCATTTCAAATTCATTCTGAAAAAAAAAAGAGAGTCGGTCAATTAGCTACAGGAGGTTTACTGTAAAAACAAAACAATCATTTGTGCTTAAAATGCACACTCTCTCACACACAAACACACCCACTTAAACACACTCATCGTTCTAACCGTAAGTAATTATCTTTGCAGTATTGGGAATATGACTTAAAATTAAAACTTAACAAACCTGTTTGGCCAAAGCACAATAACATATTCATTACTAAACAACAGCTCTGGCATTCATGACTACAACACAGCAAAGCAATGGTTAAATGTTTGCACTTCAGCTGTGCATTGTGGGCAATGTAGTCTGCAACAGCTGTATAGTCACTATTTAGTTGCTCAGTGTTCAGTGACACTTGGTGACACTGCCCCTGACTGTTGCCTGCACTGGGCATGCTGCTCCAAGCCTTCAGCTGTATTTAAGAAATGCCACTGCCTGCCCTCCCACACCCATCATGCCATCCTAAGCGACACACACCTTCTTTGCAGGTCTTGGGATAATCTCGAAATGCAGAAGGGCCAAGATGACGGTGGCCACCAATAAGAGGACGAAGGAGCAGATTCCGAGCCAGTGGCAGAAACGCTGTTTGGGTTTAATCTCTCGGACAACTAAGAGTCCATTCTCCATTTGGGATTCTACGTTATTCATTCTGCTGGGGTTATGTTGGCTTCTTGACTTTAACAATGTCTCTGAACTCCCAGTTTATTGTGATCATGGTACCATCTGCTAACAGATCTCTTTTATACTATGTTACAGGCAGAAATTCCACAGTGACATCAGAAATGGGCTGAGCCTTTGCTATCTCTTCAGCTACTATACTGCATTGTTATTGGTCTCCTCCACTCGCTGGAGATGGAAACAAGAAATGAAGTTGTTTCGAAAGAGAAACTCCGAGGGAAAATACATGCAATCATAGAATCCAGCCACTTCCTCTTTACTTTGTATTCTCTACAGTGGAACTTATCCTTTCTCCGATACGGGGGGGAGGGATGGAAGTTAGAATACATATGGCACAGAGGCGGCCGGTAGCATTAAAGTTTTACACCTGGGTTGTACACCTGGCAGAACCTGTAAAGTTAATTAACCCTTTCATTGTTGAGTTTTTTTTTGTGTTTTTTTTTTTTTTTACGAATAACAACAACAAAAGAGAGACGTTCACATAGAACATGTCATTAGACAATTTTTATTTTTCATGTATTTGTTCATTGTTTATAGAAATATTGGGGGGATTCAGTGTGCAGTATATTTTGTCCTGCAAATCTTCTAAAAATCTGCCGTTAAAGCACAAACATCAGTTTTGTAATGTTCAGAAAGTGCAAAAATAAAATGAAAACAGTGTGGTCACAATGCTGCCCACTATGTAAATTGCGGGTAGGCTTTTCAGTGTTTGCATTTTAAGAGGGGCTTACATTATTTAATGCTGAGTAAGTGGGCTTTCTCAAACTTTGTAGGGGGAGACATGTAGGCTAAAGAGCACATAGGGATATGTAAGACCACCTGCACCCAAATACATCCCACACCTCACCACACACAGCGTGTGCAAATAGAGTTAAGCCCACCCAGATGTCAGGTAGAGAGTCCACTCTGCTTTAATAGGGGTCATAGAGACCCTATTTCTTTATTAAAACTATATATATATCTTGAAAAAAGTCCCACAGAGGACTGGAACATTGATACGAATGTGTTGTATCTATATAGCACAATAAAAGAATTAGAAATTGGAAAATCATCAGTCCTGTGAGTGCACTTTTCTTGGATTATGTACGTTTTGGCTGAAGTAAACAGCCAGGATAGCACAGGACCGTGAGAGAGAGAGCTGGACTCACGTGGACATATATATATATATTTTAAATTAACCATTTGTTCGCTGCCTGCTCACTGCTCACTAGGCAATTGTGAAATATTTCAGAATCTACCTGGAATGTTTATGTGTGCTCTCCTGTAAGCTTCTGCAAGTGAAGGAGACAGCCTGAGTAGACTGTGTGTACAAATATTTGTATGACCAAATAGGAAAGTTATAATTCTTATATAACATCTGTTATAGGGGCAGAGGGGTAACTTGTTGGCGGACACCTCGGTTGCAGGGGCCCCCTGGAGTGACGGGCCTGGTCGCAGCAGAAACCCCTGCGACCTTGTTAGTTCTGCCACTGTATAGAGGGGTGTAGCCTGTGCACTGGCGATAAATGCAATATTCATGAAAAAGGATACAAAATATACATTAAAGGTGAAGGTATGTTGAAAAGTATATCACGGTAAAGAGAAGTTCCTGTGAGGAAATATGACATCATAAATTCACCCCTGGCTGCTCCACTATGATAGGAGCTGGGCCACAATTTCTCACCCCAATGGAAATGAATAAACCTCACTGTGGACCCCTACTAATTCTGAAATCACTAACTCTAAACTTGCATCCTTCTAAAAATGTTATATCAGACTCCGCTACACCTAACCTGGGAACCTACTAACTGCGACCTGGGAACCCTATAACCAGAATTTTGGACAACACTAACTCTAACCTCCAACCTCGAGACCCCTAGCCTGTGACCAAACTAACCGTAACGTTGGACCTCACATGCCATAACCTGGAATGCTACTAATCTTAATCTCAGCCCTAGTGGTGGCTGGTGATGTTTAAACATGATGGGGTGCTGTCCCTTTTAACTTTCTGACTGTGCCTACACAATGACAATGCATCATGCACTGCTCCAATCATAAACAAAACATAAACATAGCACCTCCAACAATCAAAATCAATCAATAAAACAGCTGCTCTATCAACTCTAACCTCCACTTATTCAAACCCATGCTGACCCTAACCTTTGCTGTCACTAACCCTTAATCTGCGACCCTACAAAACACAGGGAAACCTTCCCAGGGACCTTTTTAACCTTAACCTAAGGGCCCAACCTTGCTATAGGGCTAACCACATCCTCACTCACTGAGGATGAGACTCACTCACTCTAACCCGAGATATTTTGGCTTAGGACCCTAAATTTTAGGTTACACTATGCTGTGTTAGTGTAGATGAGGCTTCACATTAACAAAGTCTTCAGAGCTGAACAAAGCTAACAAAAATCTGAGGGGAAAAAAGCAGATAGGCACCCAAAAGAAATCTAAAATCGGATTGGACCAACAGACGCCACCCGCAAAGGGCTAACCCTTATGGCGCAATTAAACTAGGATATATACTAAAACTGTGTCCCAAATAAAGGGGAACACCACTAAGTGAGTTTCCAATGATATATAATAGGTTTATATTTAATAGACGACTCCCTTAGTGGTGTTTCCCTTTCTTTGGGTTACGCTTTTGGTATATGTTCTAAAGAGAATCTGGACTGAGTATTTCCAACGTGTAAGTAATGAGTGAGTAAGACAGTCTTGGATACTACCAGCCCCCCAATTTCATACACATACATGGGGGTTATTTACTAACAAGAACATTATCCAACAGGATAGACATGTGCAATTCTTTTTGTTCCAAATTTGGAAAAATTTGGCAATTCGGAAGTGTCAAAATTTCCAAATTCCTTACAAATCGAAACAAACCGGAAACGGACAAATTCGGAGCAAATCGAAACTACATTTTTCTGATCCATTCGTTTTTATAAGGATTGCAAAACAGGAAGTTATCTATTAGGCAACCGAAACAGCAAAATTAAGAAAATGTATTTTTCTCTCAATTGTGTCCTTCCAGCTGTTTAATAAATAGCTCCTTACGTAGGGTTACCATAATTAAAGGTAATCCCCCGATACCAAGAGAATGAACTATTTTTTTTTTTTTTTAAATTAAGAAAAAAAATGATATTTTCATAATGGTGACCTTTCAGGCAACTGTTTAGTAGATAGCTACCTAATTTGGCACCCCTATGTGAGATTATCATTTTAAGGGAGAGCAAATTTGGGAGCTATCTTTTATACTGCACCCTAATTTTGTTTCCTTTGAAATAGTTATGAATAATGGCATCTGAATTAATTTTTTTTCCGATTTGATAATTTCCAAATTTTGGGCGAACTGAAATTCAGAAACTAACCGGAAGAAACAAAACCATTTTTTTTGGCCATGCACGTTTCTAAGTGCAAAAACTGCTGTACAGGTTTTTAGTGGACTGTAATAGTTCACAGAATAACTCCATTCTTAATTCCATCTAAATCTGCAAGTTTATGTCCGGAACGATCAAGTATTAAATCAGAGGGCAGAGCAGTGCTGTCCAGTAAGTGGTCTAGACATGAACGTGCCATGTTTTAAAGGTTCGCTGTGGTACCCCAGATCGGGTGTACATGATCATCAAGTAATGGGAGCTGGTGCCTCATGCAGGCTGCACTATTTAGTCTGTTGTAAACAAACTTTTTAAATGTCATCATGGTTATTATGCATACAAGCAAATAACATAAAGGCTGTCTGACCTTCACATTCATTTTGTTAGACAAAAATATTAACCAGAATCAAGCTATACCTGGCGCATTCCACCGCCACCAGGTTGGATTACTCATTGGTCATTATTCCAATAGGGTTAGTCACTAAAAAGAGAATTTCAATGTTAAAGGGACACAGTAATCACTGTAACTGCTACATCTCATTGAAGTTGTTATAGTGTCTGGAGTCCTTTGGCACCATCCTTCAATTCTGCATTCATTCATTTGCAATGTTTAAATGCTAAACGAGAGCCCCCAGTAGCCTCTCCCCTCTGTTCTACTTGGGCTAATGAGGGAGTATTAGACTGAGCATCAATGTGTGGCTCTGATTGGTCAAGACTGTCAGCGGAACACTTTCATTCAGCCTATATCAGCCTAGAAGACTAGAAGGAAGTGTGTAATCTCTGCTTTAGCCACACCTCCAGTGGGGACGGGTCTGTGGGTGGCCGGGGAACTTTGTTTAGTTTTAAATAGCATGGAAATGGTTTGACAGTGAATGGAGAGACAGTGCCAGAGGACTCCAGACACTAAAACCAATTCAATGAGATAAAATGGCTATAGTTCCTACAGTGTCCCTTCAAGGTCAAACCATGTCAACCATGCTTTTAGTTCAGCTACTCTGCGCTTAAATTTGAAATCCACTTTAATTCCAAACAATTCTCCCATTAGTAAATAATCCTGTCAATAGCCTCCAGGAATAGCAGTAGCCTCCAATCCTCCAATCATTATATATGTTGGCAGTAGTTTTGCGGTTTCCCAGATGTTGTGGGTATCGGACAACAAAAAAGAACTCTGTTGCTCCACAATAGGTGATGGGAATTACTTGGCTGCCAATGAAACGTGTTTGTGGTCCCTCGGCTATGTAACATTGTGACTATTATTAGTTTATTGTTTCTTATTTTACTTTAAAGATACGATCATGGTTCCATTCTTTCTCTGTGCTTGAGTGGGATTTGGAAAAAATGTGCCCTCAAATCCCCATTGATGACCATTTAGCATTATTTTGAGGTTGAGCGTAGGGACGCACTATAATGAAATTTCCCATGAAAATGTTTACTAAGATCTGTCTGGTTTAACAACAAGAGAATTATCAGTTTTATTCATAGAATCATCTCCACGTGCTCTAGCATTTCGTATCTGTGTCATAGAATGGCAGCTTGTGTCTCTTGCAGGTTACGCGTTTCAGTCTTCTGTGACCTCAACCCACTTATTAAATGTCATCATGGTTTTTACTCTTACAAAGATATAAAATGAGAGCTGCCTGACCCTTTTCTGACATCACATTCTTTTTGTCGGAC